TATTATTATTAGAATTTAAATGAGATTAAATTTCGATAAACATTAAAATTTCTATCGCTCATTTTTATTTTGAAATATTAGAATTTATCTTAGAATAATAGTAGAATGTGTATTGTAATGTGTGAGAGTACGTTTTTTGGATTACTTCTTGATTACTTCTTTTTTTTACTACTTCCGCGTAAAATCAATGACACAAACAGCAAATTCTTTCGCTACGTTTCTGTCCAATTCTCAGGTTTTCTCAGTTTCACTCTTTCTTGCAACCTTCATTCTGCCTCCTTTCTTTGAATGATTTTAATACAATTGTTAATGTAAATAGTTTTGTGCTGCAAAAATCATCATGTAAAGTCTTAGTGAAGAATTTTAATGAGCACAATAAAATTGTTGTTATTAAAAAATATATAGTATTATTATTATTATTACTATTTTCTTTTCTTTTCTTTTTTTTTCTTCTCTTCTCTTCTCATTTCTTTTCTTCTCCTTTCTTTTCTTTTCTGTTATTTTTGCAAAGGAAAAACAAAATCCACACACTAGTTTTCCATACGCAAGCGTAGTGTATAATCATTATGGTAAACGCTAGATTGCTCGCAGGGACATGCGACTCGTCAACGCACCCGTCGACTCCCGCACGTGACCAAATTTTGGAAAGTCACCCCAAAAAATGTCAACAGAAAAACTATGATTAAATGTACCAAGAAGCAACGGCTATACGCTGGGGGATAACAGAAAAACGCAGGACTTAAATACTGCGTTCTCTGAGTATTGTGAATTTACTTGTTCATGGAATTTTTTATGTTTTTTTTTCAGTAATTATTATTGTTTTAAACGGAAGTTTACATGGAGAGGAGAGTTGCTCTTGCTACACAATTATAAAAATGACACGTCAATGTCGTGCAACGAACTCTTGTAAATTTAACAACAAGCAGATTACTCCAGTATCCCAGTCTTTGTCGATTGATTCATTTTCCAATCAAGCTTGTATGTTCTTTCATTCCTTTTGCTATGAATTTCAGATGGAGATAAACGTTGCTCTTGCTACACCTTTGAAAATGACATGGCAATGCAGTGGCCACAGGCAGAGGGCAGATGTAAATTTAATAATAAGCATCTGGTGGTCATGGAAACAGAGCGAGAGTGGGAATTTGTAAATAAAGAGATTCAAACTCGGAATAGTAGCGAAAAAAGTGAATGGCACATCGGTTTGTACAGAAACTTGACAACTAGAAAATGGACTTGGATCAAAGGTAAAACGGTAACTATAAACAAATGGCAGAAGGATAAGCCTCAAGACAGTGATTTTTACACTGTAATGGCCAAGGAATCTTTGGATGGAGTTAAAGGATCGTTTAGCAGCATCAAGGGAAACGTTAAAAGAGGATGGATTTGTGAGGAAAAAACAGGTATGTGAATGGGTCTATATCCTCCACCGTACTAGCAATCAAGCCCATCTCATTGCTCCCCTTCCATCTTTCCATTAANTTTTTTTTTTTTTTTTTTTTTTTTTTTTTTTGCCCCCCAAAAGATAACTGCCAAGGAGTCTGTTTAATTCATAATCCAGTGCCAACGAACTCAAAACCGCCGCCTGGAACTACCAAATCTACTTCACAATGGCGGCCGGACTCTTCAACTATGCATGACCGCACTACTACATCAGGTTAGATTGTATAGTCCACTGACTAAACACTGCACTCATTTTTGATTTAACAATATATACATATGAAGCAAATCATCCTGTGAGATTACGAAATCTCTTAGTTATCTCAAATAATTATCGTTTTAAGAACGTTCGCGCGAAAATTTTCCAGTTGATAGATTTTTTAGAATTTTACTGCAGTAAGATAATGAGGTACTTGCGTCAGAAATGCATAAAAATTGGGGTTCACCGACTTCGTTTCAGAGATAAAGCGTGTGAAAAACTACCCTGATTATGAAAAATTTGCGTACGTAATTCAGCATCGTCTACCGGGGTTTATAGTTCAAAAATCGAAGGTGAGTCAACGGAGGCAAACCATCTTAGTCATAGTTGGTCTACTGCGTAGATAATTCCAAGTGTAACTAACGTTTTCACAAAACTTAATCCTTCAAGAGGCATTTGAAACAGCACACATAAACGAAGAGCTAAAAAGAACGTACATCAGGTTAGATTGCATAGGCCACTGACTAAACACTGCACTCATTTTTGATTTAACAATATATACATTTTTAGCAAATCATCCTGTGAGATTACGAAATCTCGTAGTTACCTCAAATAATTTGCAATTTGGAAAAAATTCAAACTGCTAGTCGATAGATTTTCTTCATTGTTTTCGCTAAACGTAGAAAATCGGTAGCGAACATGATCCATCAAGAAAAACAGGGGTCACCGGACGTCCAAGATCGTTAAATCCATGCAAAGCTATTGTAGTGTCCATCTGCCTTATTATTGTTTATTTTATTACTTAGCGCGCGCTCTCATACATGACGTGGCATGTGAATTTTCGTGCGCAGTAAGGATGCACAGAAACAATTAACGCAAACGTCCTTAAGGCGCATTCATGTACAGAGCCCTTTATGCTCCCGTCTTCTCCGGCTTAACACGCGAGGGGTCTGGGAAGGCTAGCACTTAAGACTATCGCGTTCTCAGTCATATAGAACTAATCTTAGATAGTTACACTGACAAAGTTGAAGTGTTATTTCTGTGGGAGCACATATTTGTTTGCAATGTACATTGTGTCATCGATTATCATATAATTATTTTATTTTTCTTTGTTACAAATACCAAAACCAATCCTTAATCCCTTGCATACATTTATCCAAGCTTCGTATCAACTATATGTCTTTGCTTCGAGTACTGATTGGTTCACTAGATTGTATGTTTTCTTTGTTATGGGCCAAAGTGATGACTTTAGTTTTCGTTTTCAGACACTCTATTAATTTTAAACCTCCTTACAAAAAATCTAAGCAACTTTTGTCACTTATTAGATCTTACCAGAGACCCAGAAGGAAGGAAGCAGGCTCATGACAAAGATACCTCAGTAGTGATAATTCTTGCGTCGTTAGTAGCAGTATTGTCTGCTGCGTTGCTCATTCTTGGTGTATGTTTCTTGTTTTGGCGAAAGAAACAACGAAAAGGTAAATTACTCTCTTACCTATATCATGTCAGCAGGCTGTTATTGATATCTGTATTTCGGTTATTTCTAAAGAACGTTTCATATCTATTTTTAGTCTTTGATAGAATCCTAGGAAGTAAGGTACGTTGCTACTAGCTCGTGATATATTTTTTTAACGTATACTAGTTAAGACTTTGTGTTATCACCTTCATAAAATTGATTCACCCCTGCATGGGGTGATTAAAACTTTTCATCTTGAGTAAAAATAAAAATGAAAAAACAAAAACAAAAAAACTGCCGTCACAAACATATCAAAACAACGCATGTTGTAAGAGCTTTGATTGAGAACTTGACGTTTCGTATGCTTCTACATACATCATCAGAAGTATAAAACGGTTACCTGCATTACAATAAATTTAAACGAGAAGACTAGTACCTAATAAGTAAAACCGGTACCTAATAAGGAAAGAAATGACAATACATATAAGTGAAAATAAACAGATTTAACATCGGCTGAAAAAAAAAAAAAACATATACATGACTAGTAGAGGTGAAGTTTCTCATTGCCAACATTTTCATTAAGCGCTAGCTGCAAATTACTACGAATCAATAATTTTTCTTTAATTTTACAATGCACATAAGATCGTTTGGTGGCTAAAATGTCATAGTGATCCCATTTTATCCTATGTCCTGAATAAGAATAAGAGTATTTATTAAATCCATTTTGAAATCACTGGTTACCCTTGCAATCTGATTGGCTCTCAGTGGTGCGATTTATTCATGGATCGCACTATTTTTTGCTCTAAATCGCATCTTTTTCAAAGCCAATGAGAATGGGACAGTAAAACAAAACAACCAATCAGATTTCAAGATTAGTTTAAAGTAATCAATA